TTTTTTTTTTCTTGTTTTCTTCTGCTTGTTAACGCAAAATTTACATTATATGTGCTGAGGAAACTTTTTTTTTTCGTATTTTGGGTATTTATCCTGGTTGTGGAAAACAGTACTTGAATTATAGTCATCGCAAGAAACAGCGCCATAATTGTCTAGGAAATTGTTTAATGTTATAGCAAATCTGAAAGTGATTCAATGCTGTTCTATTCAAAAAAAAAAAATTTTTTTTTTGTATTATAAATCTAACGTATATATATATGTATAACATTTCAAATTTTTAAAGGTTGAATGGAAGAAGAAAAAAAGAAGAGGAATAATTTACGGTCAATCGTCAATGTAGTAGACGTCTTTCTGTTTACGTTAAGGAATCTCAGCGTTGAACCAGTTATATTCTTGATATTTTTAGCATGGACATTCGGTAGTACATTACGGTCTACTGGAATTTATAGAAGGTTAAAATTTTGGTCACAAAATACTAAAAATATAACGACAAATAACAATACTTTTTCAGTAACTTTTGTTTTTGTTTTTTTTTTTGTTTCAGTTGTTAAATAAATGATAAAATTATTTGTAGAATTTGTGAACTGCATTATGGTGAAGGTATGAACTGCGATAAGTTGAATCGTGTTGCTGATGAGGATAAGGTTCAGGAAAGGAATGCTGAATGGTTTCTGTATACAGCTATTGCCTACTTTATTCCAGCACTTTTTTCTGATACTTTACTAGGTTAATTTTGTTCCGCTCAAAATATCACTACTTTAACAGCTTTTTTTTCTTAAAACTACTCCTTGAGTGTTAAATTTTTTTCACTGTTTACTTATTTCAGCTAATAAATAACTGCTTTAATAATGTAAAAGAACTAAAAATTTTAAAACTTTTGTCTTTTTCTCTTTTTTATTGTAATAAATATATGAAGGTTATTACAGATATAAATTTCCTTTTTTTTTTCTTGTTTCTGTAATTAAAACAGTGTAACAAATCAAATAATATTTTCAAACAGTTTCTGACAAATAATGCAGCTTTTTTTAAAGGTGCTTACGCCGATAGAAATGGTCGAAAAATTGTGGTATTACTGGGTTTGGTCGGTATATCAATTTCAGAATTTGGATACCTATTGGTGTTGAGCTATTTGGTCAATGCACCATTTTGGATTATACTGATTTTTGATTTTTGTTCAGGGCTTACCGGCTTTATCACAATGGTAATAATTATTTTAAACAATTGGTTTGTTTCTAAATTATCGTTATGTCGTTTTCAAATGTGGTTTCTTTTTTTGTCTTGCTTAACATTTTAACAGGCCAACATCTATGTTTAAATAAACATTGTTCGACAACTTTTTTACTGTTTATAAGAAGCCAAAAAAAAAATTATGGCTGAAATAATCTTTTTTGTAAGACAATAAAAACAGTAGTTCTTAAGGTTTGCGGATAACACAAAGTGATCGTAGTTTTTTTTTTTTTTCATTTTCAAGTGATTTATAATCAATGTTTTTATCTTAAACAGCAAAAAAAACTTTTTTAATAGTTTTTTTTTTGTTACTGCATACTTGACTACTGTTCTTTATTTTGGTTTGAAAAAAATTTTAGATTCCAGTATCATGCAATGCATATCTTTCGGATATCACACAAGATGGTGATATTCTGACCATACGGCTCTGTATTTTTTCCATGTTTCAGTCGTTCGCATCAATTATTGGTGCAGTTGTCGCTGGAATAGTATATAAAGTTGGTTTTTTTGTTAAACTTTATCCCAGTTAAAAACGGCTTGTTACTTCCCATTCTCTAGAATTAATTTATTGTCATTCAACTGTCCTTTTCTAAAATAAAAATCTGCTTACTACTTATCCCAAGTTTCTTCACGCCTCAAAGCATTAACTGTTTTTCTTTCCATTCTTTAGTTAGATATATTATACGCAATCGATATAGAACTGTTCATTTATTTCCTTACATTCCTCTACGTTTTATGGAGAATTCCACAAAAGCCAGGAGCTGAAGAAATTGCGAGACGTTTGTTTTTTCAAGTTTTGTTCGTTATATTACCGTCCACCAAATTTTCATTGGTAGTAAACTACTAATATTTTAATCACAAAGTTTGACTAAAATTTTTTTATGATAATCAGTGTCTTAAAGTGAATGGCAATTTCCCATCAATATCTCTCTTAATCAAGAAGGCTTAAATTTACTCCAATATTATGCTTATATATCAGTTCTTAATGACAGCTGTTAATAAGTTGGTCAGCTGTATTTGCAAAGTTTAATATGGAAATCGCTTAAATTTTATATAAATTAGACATTAATTGAAAGCAAGAAGCAAGACATAAAATGTCATGATGTTTATCTGCTAACCAGTTAGCATTTAAGTGCAATAGACAAAAAGAGTCTACCAGCTGCAGTTCACTTTTTTGATGAACTTTCGGTAATTAATCTTCTCAATAAAAAAAAGCATCAAAAAAAAAATTAATTACATCAGGATACTTCTTGTTTTACTTCTTCCATCAACTTGACGTCTAATTCAAATAAAATTTAGCCAGTTTCCAATTTAAACTTTCCAAATACAACTGCCTTTCGTATAACAACTATTATTAAGAACTAATATATAAATATAATACCACAGTATATTTAAAAAATTTGAAAAAATGAAACGATAACGGTCTTGAAAATTCAGGTTACGCATCTGGTGGTCAAAAACGCCCGTTCCTGCGGGAATTACGCGACATGTTGAAAGAAGGCTTTAACAGCTATGTAAAACGTCGGATGGGATATCGTCGTTGTTACATATTTGTATCCGTCATTGTTCTAATGATTTCCAGTACAATTAGTGAAGAAACCCGGATCAGTTAGTTTTCAGATAGTTTATCACACAAAAACTAAAAATATTTAGTGCTATCAACGACATATCACTAGTTTACTTTTTAAAATCATTTCAGTTCAAATCCTTCTTACCCCAACCTCATTCACACATATAGACACTCTCGCCTACTCAAAAAACTTTGTGGATGAAGTTCTAGTTAGACTCCAGTGTTTGATAGAAATTAAACTTATTTTTGTTCTAAATGATAGAACGTTTTGTTCTAAAGACAAAAAACTACAGCTTTTGTCCAATGCTCATGAAAAACCAAAAAAAATTAAAAATAAGCAGAAAAATTAGTTGGAACAGTAAACTACCATTTTTCAATAAATCCTGAAGATTCTTACTATGAGTTAATCGGCATTCTTTCTAAACCCACAATTTATTATTTGTCCCGCAGCTATGAATTTCGATCAAAAAACTTAGTCAAATGCACGAAAATAAAAGACTATTTTTCAAATCCAACTGACTCTTCAATTAATCTCTGAAAACACAGTATAAACACTTTGAACTATATTACCAATAACTTTTTTAGGAGATTTATAAGAAGAAATTGTTTTTCTTTTTTTTTTTTTTGATATTTGTAAGCAGCTTTTTTTGCCTAATCTAAGCACTTCACTTCTGATTTGGAAATTTTTTTTTAACAGAGGAAAAACTTTCGTAACTTCAAAGAAACAAAGGCAAATAAAGAACAATACGTTCCCAGAAAAATATAATTAAAAAACGTTTTAAGCACTAACACACCTACGATAAATCAATGAACTCTAACATTCTTTCTTTTTTATAAACTTGACTGAACTGTTCTTAAAAACACAGTAATTTCAGAATCAGCTTGTACATAAATCCTCAACAATTATTATCTGTTCATTACAACTGATAAACTTTCCAGGCATGGTAATGAACAGTTACGTATTTCGACGAACAGATAAAGATTCTTTGGATTGGGATCAAAGAGACTTGGGCTACTGGAATGGAAGCGGTTTTGCAATAAGTGTGTTTCCAAAGTTCTATATAATGTTGTCTAAATAATCTACTAAAAAGGATAAACCTCTGGAGTTCTATATAATTTACTATGAAGAATAAACCTCTGGAGTGGGCTGCAACGCCAATGATAACCAGATAAACAAAATTAAGTGTGACTAGCTGTTCAGATTTGGTCGGCACCTTGATTGGTCTTTGTTTGTTTAAACAAGTTTTACGGCTGCGAGAGACAACAATGATCATCATTGGCTTATTGTCCAGCATAGCACGAAGTATACTTATTGCTTTGGCCACCAAGTGGTGGTATATGTACGTGGCCAATGCTTGTGGTCTCTTTGTAGGCCTAATACAACCGGCTATCGCATCCTTTCTTAGACAGGTAATTGTTTCTACCTCTACCCTCCTTAAATCTGCCATTGACAATTTCCAAAGTTTTTCTTTCATCCGTTACAATAACACTTTTTTGCCGCTTGTCGGAAACAACCTCTATTAATATTAAATGTTTCAAACTTCAGGTAGTATCAGGTGAGGAAGTAGGTCGAGTTTTTGCATTATTTGGCATCGGAAATGACCTCGCATTTGTTCTAACACATTTGGTCTATGGCAATATATATAGAGCAACTCAAGCCTGGTACCCCGGATTTTTGTTCTATTTCATAGGTAAACTGCAGAACAAGAAAATGCATTTCACACTTTTCTCAAGAATATCTTTCACTGCTAATTTAAAGTGAAAAAATTAAAGAAGAAAAATGAATTGAACAAATCTGTTTGTCAAAAAACAACAAAGAATCATTCACTAAACAGAGCAAATTCAGCTGGCGTCCAAGTAGTGGCAGTGCTCGCGATGTTATGGGTACACTTTCAAAGCATTCGTGATAAAGTTGGAAAAGATGAACGAAAGAAAGAAACCGATATAAGAAGAGTAAGTAAAACTTCGACTACACTTTCATGTAGAATTACGCGACCTCCATGGCTACAGATTATTAGAATAAAATAATTATGCAACTTCCTTCCTGCATTTAGACATATCTGAAACGTTTAGGGTTTCTTCTCCCCCCTTCCCAGTTCACCCTGACCTTTTTTGACATTTCAGTTAGACCTAAAAATCAGATTAAAAAATGATTAAATATAATAGCATAGTAAACAAGTCCCGTTAAAAATAAACCGCAGTAACTCACTTTTATAGGCTATATCAGTCATCGGTACTCATGTTCCAAATCCAGTGTCAGTACAACCGGAAGGACCACCAAAGAAAATAAAAAAGAAAATGTCAATCTATGACCACGCAGTAGCAAGAATAAATGAAAATTCACAATTTGTCGAAAATGACTGGGAATCTAGCCCTGCCTATATACGACAATTTTCTGGATCGGTTTACTAACAACAGGGTTTTCGAATGCATCTTGCAGTGTAAAGTAAGGCCACTAAAGTCTCATCGGTTTTTTCTCTGTTCAATCAACCTGACATAAAACCAACCGGTAATTAATTTTAATTCAGACTGGCCTCCCCTTACGACTCCTGTAACTGCGTTTGGACGCCCTCCTGTAAAAACCGGAACTCAAGGACCTTCAGGGTGACACAAATCGTCTGAACACCAGTCGGCAGGAGTGCGAATGACCATGGCAACAAATTTATCTACCAGAAAGAGATCCTTTAATTGACATTGACGAGTGGAACAAAATCTTAGTTATTAATCTTTGCAATTCAAACAGATCTGATCTCAAATAACCATTTATTTGTATTATTAAAGGAAAAAAACCGACTGACCTACATATTAACATGTTGAAGCAATCTCCTATCACAGATGTAGTCATAAAAAGGTGATAATAACTGGCAAATTACAAACAACTTCTACTTATAGCGAATTTAACAGAACAAGCGAGTGAGTGGGAAGGCCACATGAAAGCATTGCACGTAAATAACTTTTGGACAGCTAAACTCGGACATGCGTATCACAAAAATAATGTAACTGGAAACGACAAAGAGAAGAAACTTTCCGTAACAAGTATAGGAATGTTGTCTAAAACGAGGAGAAGGAAATCATATATCGCAGGCAAATACCGAGTACTAGCAACATATGAAATTAAAGCATATGCAGCACATAATGAAGTAACTGAATTAAATGTTACTTTATTCGGCAATGACAAACGAAATACTGGAATTACAAGCTGCCTTGAAGATCGAACGAAGCCAGCAATATGAACTCAAAAAATTTAAGAATAAATAAGGAGTAGTTAGTAAAATAAATGAAGAAGAACATCAATAAGGAAAAAAAAGGGGAAGTGAACAAAAATGCTCAACGGAATAACATATCTCCAACTTCTAAAAATCAATACCGTAGCCCTTTTTAAAAACTGCTCAAATAAAAAAGCAGAGTAAATTTTGAACACTGATGCCCTAGAGAACTATGATGAAAAATAGCCACTTTGAGCTTCACTAATCTAGAATGAGATAGTAATGGGCGTAAGTACAAAATTAATTCAGGAAAAAACTATAAAATGCAACCAAGAAGAACAAGAAATCCGCACAACAAAACATTGAAACGCCAACAAAATTCTACTGACCAAAATCCGATGCTGTTCGTAACAAGCATATGTTTTAGTTAACTTTGACTGATCCATATATCTTTTCCACAAAGTAAAATGTTGCAAGAAAACCAATAGCCCCTGTAAAAAAAACTAATTTACAACACCACAATTAAAAACTATTTGACAGCGTAGTGCCAGTTCTTCAAGAACTAAACAAAATTTCACTATTCAATAAAAAACGAACCTGTCGCGAGGAAAAATATAAATACAATAATTGATGTATACGAGAAATAAAGTATGGTTGAGATTGTTCCAACAATGGTAAGCTTCGCCGTGAAGTAATGAATGCAATATGCAAAAAGATACACGGCAGTAAACCCAGAAGTGAAAAATGAACGCCACCACCAGTGGTAATCCTTCAAAGAGATTACTCGGTTACAAGAAAGTGCTGGCCTCGAAACAATATTAAAGAAGAAATAATAATAAAAATAATTCTTGTATTCATCATTAGACAAATATAACTTACTTCAGCACAAAGATGGAAGTAGCATAACAAAATCGTAGCTTCGCTGCAGGTAACTATCAAGATAAGAAATACGAGGAAGAGGAACCCAAACATGTAATACGTCTGATGAGCCCTGAAATCAAGAAATACAGAAATATACTTTGAAAAAAAAAAGCACGAGGTAGAGAAGCAGATGAGACTCTATAAAATCACCAAATGCTGTTTAAGATGAAGAATAATTGTATAAAGATGCAGCCAAACGGAAGTATTCCACCCATCAGCATTCCTGGCAATGGTTTGGTATAAAGTGTTTGTTCCGGCACTTGACGAGGAATCTGGTTCGTACGAACCGGATGCTCAATTGGCTAAATAACATTTCTCAGAGCAAAATCTGCTGAATTAAGAACACGAAATAACACCATATCAATATAATGTTAAGCAAGTTTCCTGTCTAATCAAAAACGGTACTACAAACACCTACTCATGAATCTTTGAATTTAAAATAAACTAAATACGTACTCTTTTCTTGAAACCAAAGAATGATCCCACAAATGTTAATGGAATTGAAATAAACAGCCACATTGATAAAAGAACAACAAGAGTGCCGAAAGGTACTGCAGCAGACGAACCTTTTGTCCACAACATTAAATTAGAAATGAAGAAGACTGTGAAAACAATTCTAAAACGAAAGTACATAAACATAACGAAAGAAAAAAGTAACTCGTGCATTCCGAGTAAAGCACTGTTAGAAAATTAACAACTTACCCAGGAGTTAAAAAGCTGGTCATCAGCACATTAGTCTTCCAAGCAAGACCATTCATAGCTATAATTAAAAGTTATCTTTGAGTACAGTCTGCCACGACTAGTTGAGATACTACACTCGAAAAAAAATAAAAAAGTAAAGAAAAGAAAGAAAGAAAAAACAAATCAGTCCAAAATAAATAAAGAACTAAAGAATAATTTACTTTTATACAATCGGGCTGAAACGTATCCTGCAACGACTCCAAAAAGAACGTAGAACACAAGGGCAAATGTCATCAATGAACCACGGTTTGCGGGCGACAAGAAGCCCAAGCACGCAAATACTGCAAGGAAAAGAAAGCTGGCATTTGACATATCTTGTAGTAACAAAATTAAATAGAAGCTTGTAAGAATATTTGGTTTATTAGAAGTTACAAGCTCCAAAGCTTATTAAATAAGAACTAGTTGAAGATCATAAGAGGATTTACCCAATGTGACGGCAACCATAAAGAGGATCTGACAACCACTGCCAACAAATACCGATAAAAGCAAAGCATAACGAGGGGGACGAAAGACGTCTCCATGCACAAGTTTCCAACCAACTTCTTCCTGAGCGTCCTCCTAAGAAAAAAGCTAAGTTAGATTTTCCTCCTTCCAATCCGTTGACTACCTCCTAGATACTCTTCAAAATTTCCACGACGAATAGAATATTTTACAATTTTTAGACTGAACACCCAATCGACAAAACATACTAACAACAGTTCTAACACTTCATTATTTAATACTCAACCTTAAATCTTAAAGCGCTCACAATTAAAACTAATGATTCAAGCTGACCATTGCAGACTGCAAAGACAACAAACCTCATCAACAGCAAGTCTGTTGTACCGAGATATATCTCGATGCAAAGTCCTAACCAAGATCATACCAACCTAAAATGATGCGGAAATTAGAAAGTACTATGGTTAATTCACTCAAAACTTAAAGATGTGCAGAACAATACTGCTACATATCTTTAAAATGTTATTGAGTCACTTACCATTCCAGAAAGGAAGATAACTATGACAAGTGAGTTCATAATTGAAAACCACTGAATGTTACTGTGAGGCACTGAACTGAGAATATAATCCCATCGGGAAGACCACTTAACGTCCGACGTCTAAGAAACAATACACTATTCCGACCACAATCTAATAACTCTATTAGCCTTCTCAGAGAAATCAACTGTTTGAAAACATGGAAAATTTATGAAAAATGATCCTTTTCAACAATTTAAAAACCTAACTACAAACATTTACAGAAAAGTAAAAATACCTAAAACAAAGTACGTGCCTAAAATGAATAAAATATACTGTACCTCCCAGCTAACTGAATACGAGTAAACAATACTAGCTTCTTCGGCACTTGCTGGAATATTCAATGCAGGTGCATTAGGCGAACAATCCAACTTGTTTGCTGACGGATGCCTTATACTTCGTGGCTGAATAGTGATGTTGATAATACGATTCCAATCACCGTGTTCAAAAAAGTTGGCGTCATTACTCAAATTGCGGTATGCGATACTAATAGCCACATGGTTAAATATATAATAATTATCCCTCTCTCTGTACTTTGTATCCAACATGCAGGCGTCCTTAGGTATACCCCCAGGAGTCACGTAACAGCCCATCGGAAAACCGGTAGTGCATACAAGATTACCCTGCTGGTTCAAGAAGCAAAACATCACTGGCATATTGTCAACTATCCTGCAATTTATTACTAGAACACCTCAAAAAAACTGATGCTGGCATCTTACTCCGTTGGAAATCCCACAAACTCAATAAACACTTAAACAACTCTTTAAGCTTTCAAAACAAAAGAATAATGAATTGTCTACTAAAAAATAAAATGAACAAAGCCTGATCATACGTTACATGTCCGGTGGAATTACTACAAGACTAAACTTCAAACAAAATAATCACAATATTAAAAAGAAAAAAAAAGAAAGAAAAATAAAATTGTTACCAGCGATGCTGATAATTTAGCTTCATGCCACTTTTCAGTAACAGCAATTTTTGCCTATCAATTGGATCACCAGCTCTATAGTCTTTCACGCAAAGTCTGGTGCACGTTTGTGGTTCATTAAAAGATATCTAAAAAACAATAATATCTAAACACAAAAGAAACAAGGGATATCCTCTACGTCAAATTTAAACCTCCAGGAACTTTTCTTCTTACTGGTCCACTAAAATTTGAAAAGCTATACTAGTTTGCTGTGACATTTCCATCTTCCATCAATTCATGTTACACTGTGCTGAACTAATTTTTCTTGCACTACAAACTAAATTAACTCCGTAGGTAATTAATACCTGATGAAAGAAATAGTTAAGAGTAGTAAAAACTTAGCTACTCGAGTGAACGAAGAAAAAATATAAGAAAAAAATTATCTGTAATTACAATCTGTTCCTTCTTCTACTATTCACAACTAAATTGCAATGAACTGTAAAGTTAAAGACAGCGGTGTAAAATCAAAAACTGACATTGTACAAACTCGGTTTGATACGTTCGCCAAAAACTACTTGTCCAAGATTTTCAACCGGTGAATCGTCCTTGGTATCTGTGCAAAATCCAAATCTAAAAATTAAGCATAGAAAAAGTTTAAAACAGTCATTAGGAGAACACTAAATGGCTTGAATGCCGCCTTTAAATAATTGTGAAGGTAAACATATCGACACTACAACAAAAAAATTTTAAAAAGCGCAGCAATTTTGTGAAGCTAAAACCGCCAGGAACTGAACTGATTACAAAGACCGTCCGCTCTAAAATTCACAAGAATTACTGTGAGGTTTTTGCCTAATCAGCCATGTTACAAAGAAAGGCTAGACAACAATGTTCCAAAACATCAGCACTACAAAATTCTTGACCTCTCTGAAAACAACAAAGTCTTGCAATAACTCATATTTTTGTTACAGGAAATGAAAGGCACTTCAGCGCATTACCAATCGTAAATCGCTTGGAACTAGAAAACGGTTTTCGTAACCAAGCTTCAAAATGACAACAAAAATTACTTCTCTTTCCTAAGCTTCTCTAAACCACTATTACCTAGCTACAACTAATTTTAAAAATAGACTCACCACCTGATTTCTGAAGCTACAATAAAAAAAATAACAATTTTTGCGCGTCTAAAGCCACCTAATCAATTCTGGCAAAAGAGGCTTCAACTCATTTAATTAATTTTTTATAAGAAAATCGAAGCATCAAAAAGTTACTTTTCGTAGTCATAGGAAAGAACATTTTGATCACTATTTAAACTATTGACGAACAATTTGACATCGCTCTGAAAACGAAAGAATTTAACTTTGCTCAATTCACGAGTAAGGTAAAAAAATGCCAACAAAATGACTTCTAAAGCCTTATTAAGAAATTTTTCAAAAATATTTTTTCTGTTAACATATTTTAAAAATGACAATTGCATCACAGTTTTTTTAAAAATAACCTTAAAATTGTAGAAAAGAATGAATGCCAAGTAAACATACTCTGCACGAATCAGATGTTTTATCTTCTTTTCCCTTCTCGCAGAAGTTTACAGGAGCTATACCAGGAAGATAGAATTGAATGGACAATCGAAAGAGGCAAAAAATAATTAAAGCTGTTAACGTTCGCATTGAAATATAAGGTTTACCTTCTAAAAAAAGGAAAAAAAAAGGAAGAAAATTCATAGGAAGCCAAAAGAATTGGTACTTCGTAATCGACACATCATTTTTTCTTTCTTCAATACACATACCACCGTCACCGATTTTTGTACCGCCATTTCTACCCGGTAAAATGAACTATTCGCAACAATTTCTTACCCTATTTTTAATAATGACAATGATGAAAATAATGGTAATTCAAGTTCCCATATCAATCATATAAGCCATATTCTTTTTTAAGAATAAAAACTGTGAAGCAGTGAATCATGCAGCACAGTACATTTGCATGTCAATTAGAGTATAACAACCTTAAGTCTGAATCAGTGATACTGCATTATGTAGCAGATAAAACTGTAATCAAAATGTTGAAACCGCAGATGTGTTCAGTGGTATAACGCCATCATAATACCAACAAAGAATACTGTCGCTGATATATAAAATAAAGCAGTAATTCAGAAATTTTGCCATTTTCCAAAAAAAAACTTATACCACCTGCCACTGATGAACAAAAAAATGACAGAAAAAAATCAAACTAAAAACAAATAAGTGAACAATAATTTGAAGCAAATTTAATACGTGTAAATCCCTCACAACAAAGATCCACTGTAGCATGGTACATCGGACGAATGTTGACTTGATTTAGATTTTTCAAAATAAATTTACCTCACGACGATGACGTGGAAAAAAAATGCAAAAATAAACAAATCTAAAAGAAACAGAAGGTTGGCAATAACCTTTTATCAGGCGAAACGTGTAACCATTACAACAGCGGTCGTTATAATAGTTGTAGCAGCACCACCAGCAACAACAACAACAACAACAGAAGACACAAGCGTTTGAAACTGAAACTAAATAGCTGATCTAACCAGAACGATAAAAAATAATTTTTGCTAGTGCGTTCAACAAAAATTGCTTCCTGAAATCTTCGTTCCCTAACACGAGTTTAACTTTTGAGCAAAAGTACCGGACAATAGTGAACGAAAACGTTGGTAAATGGCACTAACAACAGAGTAAATCTATACACAAAAAAACAAATTACAAATATAAAAACATATAAATATAAAAATATAAATATATATATAAATATAGATGTGAATCTAAATATATATTTACTTATTGCAAAAAATTTTTTTCAATTTTTTTTTTCCGCTGCGCAAAGCATCAGAAGGATAGATGTAAATAAAAATAAGTGAAGCCAAAGAAGTTTTCGTTGTTTTGCACACAGATAAGCAAAATGCGGAAAATGGAATCGAAAAATTTAAGAGTCAAATACTGAATGCATTTTGTAATTGACCACGGTTCACCAAAAGATACAAAAAATTTAATAACAGATTCAAGATCAAGACTAAACCCAAACAACTGATACGGCCGATTACAGATCAAAATCTTTGTCTCTAGAAGATTTTTATCACTGTCGGCAAATTAGACAAACTAATGAAAAAGGCATTTTTCAGCACCAAATGGATTCTAGTGCTGATTCCAATCAGCTGCTGCAGCCGCAACAAGCAACAGCAATAATAACTGAACTAACGGACGCCAATACGGGGGATGACAATTCATTAACTGCGCATACCAAAAACATAACATTGGTGGTGGCCAACAGAAGTATAAACAGCAATAGTCCACGGATACCACCACTCAACCGAGGAACCGTTTTGATCGTCATCATCATCATCGCCATCATAATAACACATCCATCATTACGTGGCTGTGGCGTTCCATTTGGCGTTGGCAACACGGCAGCGCCAGCAAACATCACTACTCTCCCCGGTTACGTAACAGGGGAGGGCAGTTCAATACTATAGGCAATAGCGCTTCGCTGTTTGCAGCATCGCGGTCAGGCATATAGCCGCCATGTGCACCCCCATGTACAAACTTGGTGATTTCGCTGCTGCTGCTGCTTTGTCCCGCTTGCATCACCCATTCCTGTCACGTCTTCCAATAGGCCTATGTGATTCTGCTGCACCTTCGAGCCTGCTACTTGTTTTCATCAGGACGTGACAGCTTAGGCTATGATGGCTTGACATTCGGCTGACATTTTAAGCGCTGGATGGTGCATTTGAAACCTGGCATCCGCTACAGGTTTCTAACATGGCCAATTTGTTAGAAATTTGGTGATGACTAAACGTTGGCGTTAGGTTTATTGTTTCTAGGGACCGGCGGACGAAGAGTTCTGCATCAGTTGTCTTGAATAATTTTAAAAAAATGAAGTAAAACAAGGTGAAACAAAGATTTCTTCTTGCTATGTTCTTGTGGTTTCGCCGCAGTCCCTGTAGTATTTCCCGCTGCATCCCTTTCGAGAGTTTAGCACTCTGTTTACTAAGCTGTGAAAAGCGAAGGGGATGAGGGAAATTTTTTTTCATGAAAGTCATCCAACGTAACGTTCAATTCATTTTGTTTGTTTTTTAGTTTTATAAATTGAAAATAGTAATCGGAATATTTGTGTAGTTGTTGAGCGCGAACGAGGGGTAAAAATTTTCTCTAACTCTGCGTATTTTTGATGAAAAGACACGGAAATAACAGCTTTTTTATGTTACAGAAAGCAACAAGTGCTGAATTCGTTTTTGATAGCCAAAATTAAGCATTTTCAGACTATTGAGTTAATTGCATTACAGGAGTGATGGAAGATATTGGGAGCAACAGGGTGGGGTTTTTATGGGAGGGAAGGAAGTATGACGTTCGCTCATAGGGCTGAGAATTAATGTAGAAGGTGTCAGAGGTTGACATTCAAAGGATGAGAAGTTCCTGAGCCGGAAAAGGTACTCATTTATTCGAGAGGTCTTTTGTTGTGGCCGTACTGAAAGTTGGGGAGCCTTGGTTAGCTTCAAAGCCATATAGATGATAGAGACCGCCTTTGCGCTATACGGGCTCTCCACAAACCGTTTTGCAAGCTAAAATTGGTATTACAGATTTTGCAAAAATGGCTTCAATGTAAGTTGCAGACCAACCATATTAAGGCCTTAATGTTAGAACCGTGAATAGCTTGGAAACACTTATTGCTAAAAGCAAAAGTCTGGATTTTGTATCTGAAACTCTCACTGCACGTGGTGTCGCTCTCTAGACAGAGCAAGCTGGTGCGTTCAAAAAAATTCCAATTTGGTATTAAGTACGTTCTTCTAAGTTATCGATGTTGGATTTCTGTTTGGCTCAGCAGTGCACATACCCAGAATTCCCCCCTGACATATCACTCTGTTTTTGAAATAGAGTTGAATATTTTTTCACCTAGTGTCGCGCAAAATAAGAGATCCAAAAATATGGCGAATTTCGAAGAGAGGGGGGGACCAATTTTTTTCCTCTTTTTCACAGGATCTAAGGAGTTGTAGAATGGAAATGACGTCTAAACTATTATTTTTTGATGCTTTACTTTTGATATTTTTCCTTTTATTTTTTTGTTCGAAAGCATTATGGAGTTAATTCTTTTGAAACAAATTTCTGCACACAAAGTTGCTGTGTCTATTTGTATATTTAGAATTGGGTGAAAATTAATTTTGGAATTTTCAACATTTTTAAACTGCAAATTAAATTGCAAATTTTTTTTCCTAATTTTATTATAAATAAAATATTTCAGTTGATTTTAAGATATCAACATTCACAAGTACTGCAGCCTGGAAAGGACTTCTGTGTTCAACAATCAAAATGTGAACAGTAGCAGAAGTTTCATTAACGTTTAGTCGAATCTGTAGCTGTTTTTGGAGTATTCATGTAAAATAAGATACAGATTTATTGCTGTTTTCATACACGTATTTGATTACTTGTTTATATCT